CTAAGTATAGCTTTGTTCACAGGAACTCAGAATGCAGAACCGGACAAGAAACTTCTCACCTCCTGGCCTCCCTCTGTACGTGCCCTGGGGCTGGGACCTGTGGTCAGAGGGTCCTAGGCACCGCCAGCTAACCAGACCCCTCCCCACTCCAGGTCCTTTCAGTTTCCCCTGCCTGGTGGTCCAGGGTCCCCTATCCTGTGGTGCCCTGGGCTCTGCGATGTTCAGAGACAAGAGCCCTGTCCTTGATCTAGTCAATCATACCTCTATTCTAATATTTATGGCTCCTTTAAGCTTGTGCTCAGAGACCCCTCTGCCTCCCAGGCACCCTCCCTGTGTCCATCATCTGTCCACCACCTTCAGGTCACTTCCTTTCATTCTCTGAGAAGTTACCCATGTTTTGCTGCCATTTTGTCAAAAATTATTATAATTTGCAATGATGAAAAGAACTACAGACATGAAACCTTACAAACATTATTACCTTGATTTCATACCCTTTACGTTATTAGCTTCTATCTCATCTCAGCCACTCAACCCCACAGTCCTAGATTAGACCTTGTTATTTTCATTGATTTAACTAAATCTGCCTCTCTCACTCACTTTCTCTCTATTTTGTATCTATCTATCTATCTATCTATCTATCTATCTATCTATCTATCTATCATCTATCTATCTAGGTATCCATCCACTATACATAGTCATTGAAAAACGGCCTAGCTAAAAGGGAACAGAATACATAGTGTTGAGACAGAAGAACTTTTGAATATAATTTTATTAAAATTTGTATCTAATAAGATAGATAATTAGAATTTTATGGAAGTAAAACTTAGATATGGATAAATGGGCCCTCTTAAGTCTAAGGTCATATGGATTTGTATAAACACAAACAATCATGTAAACACCATCAAAACCAAGTTATAGGACAATTCAGTCACCCCAACTCAGGAAATTCATCATTAGCATTTCTATCCAACAGCTTCTCTCACAGCGATCAATTTTCTGTGGTGTTAGTTTTTCAGATTCCATACCATGGAGATGGGATAATGCAGTGTGTAGCCTGAGGCAGCGGCTTCTTTCATACAGGACAATGGATGTGGGATTCATCCATATTCATGCATGTACTGGTTCATTGCTCCTTTTTATCAGTAAACAGTATTTCATTGTTTACCCATTGCCTTGTTGGAGGACATCTTGGCTGCTTCCTTTGTGTAGCAAATGTAGATGAAGCGCCTGTAAATATCTGTGTATGTGTTTTGAGTGAACATTAGTTTTAACCTGACTTAGTTACATGCCTACAATTGGAGGGACTGGTCATATGGTAAGTGTATGGTTAACTTCACAAAAAAGTGGCAAATTTTTTGAAAGTGGAGGTGCCATTTGCATTCCCAGCAGCGGCACCTCACTCTGTTTCATTCCCCCTTCTATACTGGGGGTGTTGTTAGATTTTACCCCATCACCTCTGAATCACGTGGACAGGACTGGGAAACACTCCACCTGGAGGAAGCACCTTGGCAATTGCACCTGTGCCTGCTGGGATCCCAGCTCCAAAACTCCTCTTTAGATCCAGGTTCGACCACAGTCTGCTGTCCAGGTCAGACTTCAGAACCGGACTTTGAAAGCCCACATTGCTGAGTGCTTGTGTGAAGACTCCTGTGAGTTAGCAGATCTAGTGTGGGAATTCTTGATCTCCCACATGATCCAATTTTATTTCATTATGAATATAAACTCATCTGTATCTGACATGCCATGCAGGTGACTGGGTAACCAGCTTCTGTGACACTTGGATCTAAGCAAGAAAAGGGCTCACACTCCACAGCCCTTCACTCCTTGTTCTTTTGGGATACCCCGGGCAGGGGACTGGGTCAGCAGCTGGCCCTCTCGTCATAGATTTTCCTGGATGTGTCCTTGCTTGGAACACAGGGCGTGGCCTCAACTTCAAAAAATGAGGGGAAACTACAATTAGCTGCCTGTCCTGGAAGAGGAGGGAATATGGACATTGATGAAGTTCTAGTATTTTCTGTCATAAGCTGTCTTTGAGACAAATGGCATATAGCTCGGATACATTGTATAATTTGAAAGATGATCTCCACAAACAAAAGGATTCTAGATGTAGACCAAAGTGTAGATTTCATTATGTACTTCTGTGTCCTAACTCTAACAGTGAATTATGGAATAAATTACTCTTCCAAAGTAAATTCTGAAATAATTTACAAGAGATTTGAAATAAATAAATTAATTTATTAAACCATCAGTGTTAGGAAGTTGTAAATATTTAATATAAAGGAAAATCATTACATTTAATGTCACTATTATGGGATGGATTATTGAATACTCAACTCTACAAATAATAAAAGCATTGGGAAAAGGGCTTATAATATGTCAAACAATAAGTCAAAGTAGATTAAGTTATGTTGTTTTGATAAATGATATTGGTAGTAAATTCATATGTTAAATGTAATATGTAAACTGCTTTTAGTTTAAATAAACTGTTAGTAATGCAAATATTTCCAATAAATATTCTAGCAGTAGAACTGCAGGGCATGATCTTTTGTGTTTTCAAGATTAAAATGGTGCTCATTGTGCGTGCTGTCCTGGTGGCATGGTGGTTATGTTCCTGTGCCCCCTTCAGCAGCCCACATTCGCAGCTTTGGGTCCCAAGCACAGACCCACACCACTCATCAAGCCATGCTGTTGTGGTGATCCGCATACAAAATAGAGGAAAATGGGCACAGATGTTAGCTCAGGGCCAATGATCCTCAAAAAAAAAAAAAAAAAAAAAAGACTGTCCATTGTGTGTCTGTGGATGGAGAGTCTACCGGAGCAGAGAGAGTGGAAAGAAGTAATATACACATATAAAGTATTTTCACCTTCCTGGAAAATATCTGGGCTCTGCCTATTCATCCCTCCTCCCCCAATGGCTTAATAAGCCTTATATCAAGGGACTAAGGGGCACACCTTAAAGGAATGTTTATACAAGAACTCTGTAAGGCATTAACAGTACTCACACACTACACTGTCAGTACCATCCACAATCTTCTAGAAAGGTTGAAAAAAGGATATCATTAAATTAAACCTAAAAAAAAAACAAAAAAACTTTAAGAGACCCTTAAACTCACCTGGGCAAAGGTATTCTCTGGTGGCACAGTCCTCCACTACTACAAGAACACATCAGTTATCTCTCTGTGACTTGACAACCGAAAGTGCCTTGCAGTTAGGGATCCTATGTCCAATATTCCTCTAAACTGGTGCATGCAGTAGTGGTAAAATATTGAAAGGGATTCAGGAACTGTACCCACTCCTATCACCAACAGATTGAGATGGCCTTTCCAGTGCATCTGTTGAACACCCTCCTGTGATATCCAACCAGGCACTGTTGTCTATTGGAAGACACATTAGAGTAAATCTGTCCTTGAAGCTCATTGGATAGGATCTCATCATGTATTTTTTACAACAGACGCAGAAATGGAACTCCATGCATTCATGTTATGCAACTGTCTTAATCCCTGTGGGCTTCCATAACAAATTTCATTGACTGGGTGGCTTATAAATAGCAGACATTTATTTTTCACAGTTTTGGATGTGGAGAAGTCCAAAATCAAGGTGCCAGCAGATTTGATGTCTGGTGAGAGCCCTCTTCCTGGACAACTGTCATTTCACTGTAACCTCACATGGAAGGAGGAGTGAGAGACCTTCCTCAGTCTTCTTCTATAAAAGCACTAATCCCACTCATGAGGGCTCCACCCTCGTGACCTTAGCACTTCCCAAATGCGCCACCTCCTGAAGCCATCACGTTGGGCATTAGATTTCAACACATGCATTTTCAGGACAAAAACATTCAGCCATAGCAGCAACTAAAGAATTGGTTCATAATTCCACATGCTTGGAAGGCTTCACCAACAGAGCAGCTCAAACTGAGAATTCTCATAGATCCTGTAGAAGCCTCTCTTCCTTAGAAGGAGAAAGCTGACCCAGGACACTCAGAACAAGCTGACAACCTTGGATGAAGGACAGCTTTCACCTAAGACATCGGTCCAAGATCTCTGTTTACTTCTATTATCATTTTATCATTACTAAGCTTGCTTACAAATAATCATTCTTTTCATTTTCTATAGATTCATACTGCTTTATACTTATAATTGTCATTTATCTCTTTTTTTCACTCATTTTTTATAGGTGTTAAGTGCAATAAGTAGTCAGAGTAATTTTTGGTGTTTGACTGTGGATACATTAAGGCTCATTCCCCCCTCTTCTCCGTCTGCCTACACATGGGAAATCTGATAAGAAAGCGTGGGCTCTCCCTCCTCTGATGGTGGAAGGAGATTCAAACCACACAAGACCTCCTGTGAGCAGGACACTCTCGCCTCCCCCACCATGAACTACAATAGAACCCTGAGCCGGTCTCCTTCCCAGGTTTTATCAAAACATTTCTGATGTGCTTGAGGGGGTTATACCACTCTCAACGGACACCTTGATAATGGAGGTGATAAAAATTTTCATGTTGTCTAGGAGTGTTTGTTGCATTATCAACCTGGGCATCCATACAAAGTCTTGGTGGGGATCCCTCTGCCTTTTCATGTTATCAATTGCTGTTGGTGCCATCACAGTGGTCCTAAGTCAGTGACCACCACTACCTGGTCTTTCTTCTCTTTCTTTGGACTCATAATACCTCCGTTGCCTGATGTAAAGACTGCACTTTATGCTGCTAATGGCTGGATGGTTGTACACCGAGCTGTGCTGTGCAGAGCTGCGTTTTTGAGTCCAACAGAGCCTCTTTTATAGATTTAACTGACTTACTTCAGAAGCTTGGATAATTAATTGGAATTTAGGCACGAGTGTGTCTGTAAGAGACTCTCTGCCTTTTGTCCACGTGAGATTGTTTTCCTTTTATTACAGCAGACTTTTCTTACCGGAAAATACAGAGGGAAGCACAGAATCACAAATCCAAAGAGGTTGTCTTGAGGAGAGTGTTATGGGAAAAGCTAACCACGACAGGAAACCAGCTCTTAACCCCCATCTGCACCTGCCTCTGTGATGGTCCTTGAGTGCGGGGCCTGAGCGCCCCCTGGTGGTCCTGAGCCCCTCCTGCAGGGAGGTTTCTGTCTAGGTTCACACTGACTTCCCCTCACTGTGTCAATAGTACAGTAATACACGGCCGTGTCCTCGGATCTCAGGCTGTTCATTTGCAGATACAGAGTGTTCTTGGAGTTGTCTCTGGAGATGGTGAATCGGCCCTTCACGGAGTCTGCGTAGTATGTACTACTACCATCTTTATTAATGTATGAGACCCACTGTGGTCCCTTCCCTGGAGCCTGGCGGACCCAGCTCATGCTAGCACTGCTGAAGGTGAATCCAGACGCTGCACAGGAGAGTCTCAGAGACCCTCCAGGCTTCGCCAAGCCTCCGCCAGACTCCACCAGCTGCACCTCACACTGGACACCTGCAAACACAAAGACATCCTGGTCAGGAAACTCTCACACATCCACTGTTTTTCTTATTCTTATCCTCTCACATCCTCAATGCCTGTACTTCTCCATAAAATACCTCTTAAAATAGCAAGAAGGAAAAGCCCGGTCAGCCCAAACTCCATGGTGAGCCGTCTGTGTTCAGTCCTGATCATTGAACGGGAACACCTGGGTACTCCAGGGCTGGGGCTCCTCTCCAGAGCTGCAGGGTTGGGGCTGGGCTGGTTTTCATCAGCAAAGCGAGGGTCCAATTTGCATGTCCTCTGACTATACAGGAAACTCTGGGGCTAGACTTCAACATAAAGGGAAGAATCCCAGAGTGTGATATTTCCAGGAGCACAAATCTGGTGAGATTTAGCCCCAGTGTCAGGGCCTGTGCACTACAGTAATGGAACCAGTTGCTGCCTGAACCAACTCCAGGGAAGAGTTGGGCAGGCCTAGTGAGGTTTGCAGAACCCCCTCCCTGTAATGAGGTCATGTGTGAATTTTATGCATTCTACTGTTTACCAAAGAATCTATAGTGAAGCAGAGCAGATGTATATGCAGAAGTTCCTGAAATTTCACATTATTATCCATCTGCTTATAACTTTTTCCAACCAATGATACATTTATTTTACACATAATAGCTTTAGTGATGAATAATTGACATGTAGTAAACTGGACAGTACAGCAGTGTGCAGGCATTATCTAAATCTACAGGCATTTTATGGACCTGGAAGCAAGGAGCATGGTAGGGACAGCCCCACCCGCTTCCCCTCTAACTGGTGTCATGCCTAGTGACCCACTTGAGGACCCTGTGGTGCAGCCCAGCTCTTTTAGGGTCTCATGTAAGAGACCAGCAGGGAAGCAAAGAACCACCTTCCTGACAGGGACAATGGGCCCTATCAGTAGGATGTTGCTGTGATTGCACAATGGGGAGGGAAGAACACATTTATCTCTTTGTAAAACAACTAGGATATCTTTGGAACTGCTCAATTTCCATGGCATATGCACAAGTTCAAACTTTAATAAATCACTGAGTGAATGATTACCAAATATATCGCTGTGTAAACACAGCAATGATAAAATGCAAGTATATGTTATCAGTCACGTGGTATTTAATGAAACGACCATATGTCGTGGTTCTAGGGAGAGTACTAAGACCATCCCTTGTTTCTCTTTGTCACCTACCAACTTGCCAGTCGATCAGAAGCTCCAACTTTCCATTATTCCAAAATAGACCCCTAATTCATTTTTTTTTCGTGAGGAACATCAGCCCTGAGCTGATCCATGCTAATCCTCTTTTTGCTGAGGAAGACGGGCTCTGAGCTAACATCTATTGCCAATCCTCCTCCTTTTTTTCCCCAAAGCCCCAGTAGATAGTTGTATGTCATAGTTGCACATCCTTCTAGTTGCTGTATGTGGGACGTGGCCTCAGCATGGCCGCGGAGCAGCGTGTCGGTGCGCGCCGGGATCCGAACCCGGGCCGCCAGTAGCGGAGCATGCACACTTAAGCGCTAAGCCATGGGGCCGGCCCCTTAATTCATTTCAATATAGATGTCAATTCAGCACAACGACATGATCCTTCCTTCCCTGGCCTGCAACATCTCCACACCACGTCTGCTCTGTGGAAATATTCCACTGCATCTTCACCATGAGATGCTGAGGAGAAGACACATGACCTCACCTCCATCTCCTTCAGTCCCAGACCCCAGTGTGTCCCTCTCCTGAGCCTGCAGATGCTGAGCTACGTGAGCAGCTGGGTGGAGTGAGGGGGGATGTTCTCCTCTTCATGGGGAGGATGAGCAGGAGGGTCTGGGGACACAGATGCACCTGGAAAAGGGCCCACAGGCTGCAGACCCTGTAAGAGTGAGTCCCGTGTAAATGTTGACGTTGGTCCCCTCGCCCCTGAGTGTGCTCTGGCTCCCTGACCTTCAAGAAGACCAACAGTACTGAAGTGTTGAGACAATGCTTTTCTGTCACTAGAAATTGGAGATACTGAGAAGCCTTGAGAGAGAGACATGGAGGTGATGGAGAGACTGTGGGCTTTCAACAACCACAAGGGCCATTTATACATGATGTCTCTACATAGACATCAAGGAGAAACATTAAAGAAGCTACAATAATGGAATGATTATTCAAATAAGTTAAATTTTGAGTACCTCATATCAGTATAAAGCTCTTATGTAAGGTTAATTTGCTCATCTTTGAAATGGAGATCAATGTACATCTAAATTCATAGAGATATAGTCATGATTATATAAGTTAAAATTATCCTAGTTCAGAGTCTGTGGGAATCTTGATGTTTACATATGAGAGTTTATTCTAAAAAGAGAGGACACCTCTGTGTTACTACAGCTTTTAGGAAACTGTTCTGTCTGCTAGTCATGAAGAGGTTTACAAGCATGGAGATGAAAACCCTTGACAGGAGAACAGCCCTTAACCCACCTCCTCTGAGAGGACAGGAGCTCAGTAGGTCCTGATCGCCCCCTGGTGGTCGTGAGTGCCCCCTGGTGTCCAGAGGGCACCATTTGGTTCCTAGGCCCCCTGGAGAGACAGAGACTCTCTTTTTTGCCCCTTCCCCTTTATCCAACACACAATGGTGGACACTTCCAGCATAAGCACTATGTGCCTTCCTGCTCAAAGGACGTCTCCTCTTAGTTATTTCCCATCCAATGCCTCCCTCACTGTGCTCCTTGGCTATAAATCCACAGCTGTCTTTGCTGTATTCAGAGGTGATCTCTATTTATCTCTTAATGCAAACCGCCTATTTCAAGAGTCTTGAATGAAGTCGTCATCACCAACTTAGCAAGTGTGAGAAGAACTTTTTCAACATAAACAGAAACCGAAAATGAAAGTTTTTGGAATCTCAAAACGCTGCTGACAGGAATGCAGGCTGATAAAATTATTCAGATTCCGACCTGTGCCACCCTTCAAGGAAAAGGAATGAGGCAGAAGAGTTCATAGCTGAATTCCTGGCCCATCCGAGCAGATGATACAGCGACCACATTCAACAGGATGAGGATACTCCCAGTATTAATCCTTGTTGCAGGATGTGTGTCTCCTGACATGTCCAGAATTGTGTGCAGACCGAGCTCCTCCCACCAAGGAACAAGCCACCACAGGACATGCTCCTCACTGTTAATGCAGCTGAACCTGCTCTGGGCGTTGATATCTGAATGTTTTATTGTTGGGATCACAGTGTCTTCGAAATTTGGGAAAACTTGAAGGTATAACTCCATTTTTTGTCATCAAGTTTGTCACTATTAATATATCTAGACATTCTGGAATCCTCCGTTTTAATGTGGTTGTTATTGCCTTGATGTGTGTGGTGAATTCTCTCACTAGAATAAGATATTTAAAGACTCTTCAGCAAACTTTGCCCACCTTATTTTAGACTATTTTTTTGAGAAAAGGCAAACCCAGGCCTGAGAGCAAAGCCCTCTCAGACCCCTCTGCACCTGATCCTGGGCTGGAATCTTGTGCTGGGTGGTCCTCAGCGCCCCCTGCATTCCAGCCCCCATCCTGCAGGGAGGGTCCTGTCTGGACTCACAGGGCATTTACCTCTAGCTTCTCTCGTCCAGTATTAATAGCTGTGCCCGGGCTTCAGGATGCTGCTGCGCGGGATACTGCCAACATTACCAGGTGTGTGAGAATGGGGCTGAGGACAGACATGGACAGAGATACCCCCGACCATTTTCATGCCTGAAACTTGGGGTGCCCTGGAGACACTAGACCTGCAGGAGGGGAAACCCTGAGAAAACATAGGAGCAGGAGGCTGCACGGGTGTCAGCTGGTTCTTGTGAGGCTGCTCTGCGGGGTCATCTCTGGTACAGGGAAGCTGTTGCAGGTGAGCAGGGTCAGCTCTGTGAAAGAGACACTGTCCTCTGCAGGACACACGGCCCCCAGTACAGACTCAGGACCCTCCATCCTCAGGGCTCCACCCTGTTAGTAGAGGCAGGAATCTAACGTCTATAAATGTAATTGGATCCTGGACAGACATAAATGAACACAGAAAGTCATGGATGAAAGACACAGCAAGACACTGATGAAGTCTCAGATTTCCAACCTCTCCCAGGAAGCTAGAATTCAGAATGTACAAGAGAGGAGGAGCTGGTAACATCCCAGGTGATGTGAGTTCTGGAAGGGCATCTCCTCACCTGGTCTGGATCCAGTAAGTGCACGTGCACACTCACTCTAGGAACAGGAACTCGCACTCCTTACAAGACACAGCAATGAGAAAACTGTCTCCCAGGTGGATGAGCAGAGCAGGGTAGGTAGATGGTGGCGGCCTTGGCTTCCAGGATGTGTTGGAACATGAGGTCCTAGATCAAAGCTGAGGGCTCTGGTCTCTGTGTGAGGACCTCACACCAGCTCTGCCTGCAGCATATTACTTTCACCTTCTGCTAAACCTACTGCTCCAGAGAATCCATAACTGGAGAGCTTGGCATCATTTATTACGTAAAGAAAAGTTGATTTATTTACTGGAAAAGAACACAGATAAGTGATTGATGAATTTCTCTGACATTAAGATAAAGAAACGCGTGAAATAAATACAAATAGTAAGAAAAATCTCTTTAGGAAAAAAAGAACATTAAGAAACTGCTATATTTTTATTTTAGAATATGATCTACCCTAATGTATTAGTATATACATTAAAATCTGTGTGTGAGCATGGCACAGTGATAAGATTTTACTTAATAGACTCGTAATTCATAAGGCCCTTAAGTAGAGATCTGGTCCTTGTTTGCCACGTAAGATCGGGAGAACACAGTGAGAATCTGGATGCTACACCAGAGGCCAAGCCAGCCTCTCACCTCTTCCTCCTGCTTCTCCTGAGGACACGGCGCTGTCCATGGTGCTGGGGCCAAGGCTGGTGACAAGGAACCCTTAAGTAGCCCAGGAGAAGAGGGATTTGTATGTTCTCAGCTCTGTGGGAAAGAATGTGTGGATTATTTCCAACTTCGAAACTTTTAGTCCACCAGAGACAATCTATCTTAAAGTTGAGAATACGAACTGGTTGATATTTATTTATTTATTTATTTATTTATTTATTTATATTTTCACGATGAGGATGATTCTGTCCCAGGAGAATTTTCTAAGTTCAGAAAATCACTGCATATCATCAGGAGTATGACACTTCTCTTAACATTTCCGTGAAAGTCATAAGAAGGAG